CATACTACAGTACTATACTTGCACTGACGATGGCTGGTAATACAGGATAGTAATTTATATACCCTTAAGCTTGTAAATTCGTAAGCTTATAATAAAGCTTATATACCTCTAAGCTTATAATAGTTCATATACCACTAAGCTTATAATAGTTTATATACCTCAAAGCTTATAATAGTTTATATACATCTAAGCTTATAGTAAAACTTGTACACACCTAAGCTTATGAGTTTGTACCCCTAAACTTATCTCCCCCTAAGCTTATAATGGTTAAATACCTCTAAGCTTATATACCCCTAAGCTTCTAATAGTTTATGTACCTCTAAGCTTATAATGTGCATGTATCTCTAAGCTTATAATAAAGTTTATATAACCCTAAGCTTATAATTAGTAATTTATATACCGTACCTGTAAGCTTCAAGTAATTTATATACCTTTAAGCTTTTGTTTTAATCAGGCATTTGTCTCGTTAAAATAAAACTTATTTGATATTAACTTTATTCTTTGAGCCATTTTTTCTCTCAAATTCCTTCTCAATAAAACAAAAGCCTACATACTGGTATAGATGACATCAGAGCTTTTGTTAGAATGATTTATGACGCAACATTAGATGACGTCACAGCTTTTGTTAGAATGATTTATGACGCAACATTAGATGACGTCAGAGCTTTTGTTAGAATGATTTATGACGCAACATTAGATGACGTCACAGCTTTTGTTAGAATGATTTGACGCAACATTAGATGACATCACAGCTTTTGTTAGAATGATTTATGATGCAACATTAGATGACGTCACAGCTTTTGTTAGAATGATTTATGACGCAACATTAGATGACGTCACAGCTTTTGTTAGAATGATTTATGACGCAACATTAGATGACGTCAGAGCTTTTGTTAGAATGATTTATGACGCAACATTTGATGACGTCACAGCTTTTGTTAGAATGATTTATGCCGCAACATTAGATGACGTCAGAGCTTTTGTTAGAATGATTTATGACGCAACATTAGATGACGTTGTAGTGGATTTCTCCCCTACAAACGCTGTTTGTCGCCGAGTAGCCGACCCCGCGAATTCCCCAGTGTATGCCTCGTGGTCTAGGTCAACCAGCGCCGCCTTACATGACGGAGGTCAACTACTAAGCCACGCCTACCTCCGCTATATAAGACCTGACCTCGTGGTGACCTGCCTCTTCTTCTAGCTACAGCCGCAGCAAGCTACACCTCCTCCTCCGCCTGCCTGGCGGTCCTCTCTCCCGCCGGCGAGCATGGCGACCCACAAGCTGTCCTTCTCTGAGCGTCCTCACCAACCAGCTCTCTCTACATCACGCTTGTAACCACGCTGCCACTTCCCAGCACCAAGCTGCACTGTACATCCAATACAACATGTATACAGAGAGCACATTGTGAGTTTCCTTTCTCCATTCATCCAGAGTGTGAACCAATAACCCGTACCCCACAACGTCACAGCTTTCAAAGTTACTGGATTTTTTTTGTTTTGTTAGAATGGTTTAAATAGCAATTTTTTTATTGGTTTATATAGCAAAGGTTTAAACAATAATATTCAGCTTAAACAATGATATTCAGTTTAAACAATAATATTCAGTTTAAACAATAATATTCAGCATAATGATATTCAGTTTAAACAATAATATTCAGTTTAAACAATGATATTCAGTTTAAACAACAATATTCAGTTTAAACAATAATTTTCAGCTTAATCAATGATATTCAGTTTAAACAACAATATTCAGTTTAAACAATAATATTCAGTTTAAACAACAATATTCACTGTTTAAACAACAATATTCAGTTTAAACAATAATATTCAGTTTAAACAACAATATTCAGTTTAAACAACAATATTCAGTTTAAACAACAATATTCAGTTTAAACAATAATATTCAGTTTAAACAACAATATTCAGTTTAAACAATAATATTCAGTTTAAACAACAATATTCAGTTTAAACAACAATATTCAGTTTAAACAACAATATTCACTGTTTAAACAACAATATTCACTGTTTAAACAACAATATTCAGTTTAAACAACAATATTCAGTTTAAACAATAATATTCAGTTTAAACAATAATATTCAGCTTAAACAACAATATTCAGCTTAAACAACAATATTCAGCTTAAACAATAATATTCAGTTTAAACAATAATATTCAGTTTAAACAATAATATTCACTGTTTAAACAACAATATTCAGTTTAAACAACAATATTCAGTTTAAACAACAATATTCAGTTTAAACAACAATATTCAGTTTAAACAACAATATTCAGTTTAAACAACAATATTCTGTTTAAACAACAATATTCTGTTTAAACAACAATATTCAGTTTAAACAACAATATTCAGTTTAAACAACAATATTCAGTTTAAACAACAATATTCAGTTTAAAAACAATAATATTCAATATTCAGTTTAAACAATAATATTCAGTTTAAACAATAATATTCAGTTTAAACAACAATATTCAGTTTAAACAATAATATTCAGTTTAAACAACAATATTCAGTTTAAACAATAATATTCAGTTTAAACAATAATATTCAGTTTAAACAGTTTAAACAATAATATTCAGTTTAAACAATAATATTCAATATTCAGTTTAAACAACAATATTCAGTTTAAACAACAATATTCAGTTTAAACAATAATATTCAGTTTAAACAATAATATTCAGTTTAAACAATAATATTCAGTTTAAACAACAATATTCAGTTTAAACAACAATATTCAGTTTAAACAATAATATTCAGTTTAAACAACAATATTCAGTTTAAACAATAATATTCAGTTTAAACAATAATATTCAGTTTAAACAACAATATTCAGTTTAAACAATAATATTCAGTTTAAACAGTTTAAACAACAATATTCAGTTTAAACAACAATATTCAGTTTAAACAACAATATTCAGTTTAAACAATAATATTCAGTTTAAACAATAATATTCAGTTTAAACAATAATATTCAGTTTAAACAACAATATTCAGTTTAAACAACAATATTCAGTTTAAACAACAATATTCAGTTTAAACAACAATATTCAGTTTAAACAACAATATTCAGTTTAAACAATAATATTCAGTTTAAACAACAATATTCAGTTTAAACAATAATATTCAGTTTAAACAATAATATTCAGTTTAAACAATAATATTCAGTTTAAACAATAATATTCAGTTTAAACAATAATATTCAGTTTAAACAATAATATTCAGTTAAAACAATATTAAATTTTATCTCTAATAAATTTTAGGTTTCTGTTTATTACAAATTTTAGGAATTATTTAAGGGTTCTGGATAAAATACGATCCTATACAGTAAAAGTCAAAACACACCCAAAATTAACATGGCACCAAGTAAGGAAATTGAGTCAGTGCCATACCCCTAAATGGTTCAAGGTGGGAGAAACTTCAGTCGTCAAATCTAAGAGCGCATTTCAGTATTCAAGAACGTGACCAATTCTTTAGTCTTTAATGATTACCTGAAGATTAGCCACCTCCCCCACCCCCTCATATTTTCAGGTTGAGGGGCAACTTCCAAGCTGGCTATGTACAAGAACAAAGTACTTCATGCGAGTGTTGGGGCTAATTTTCAGGTGTTCTTTGAAGGAGGAAAGTGTTAATGGTTCGGCTTTCTTTATTTTATGTTTGTCCCTGGCAGATACTAGGATCAACTAGGTGTGAATTTCGTTATGGTGTAGAAGCTGTCACCAACACTAACCACACCCTGAGTTAACGAGCTGCATGACCCAGTGTTTAAGGTGTAGAAGCTGTCACCAACACAATAACCAGACCCTAAGTTAATGAGCTGTCACCAACACAACAACCACACCCTAAGCTAAAGAGTTTCATTATCAAGAAGACCGGACAATTCCCCCACTGCACAGGCTGACCATTACCCAGGAACATAACCCACAAGAAGCATCCAGGGCCCCAATCACTGCTGGATAAACTGAGGTAAATGACACAATCTTCCTCACAGAGTCACCCTGCCCGGGGATTGAACCAAACTCCACTTGCTTGTAAGGCGAGCACGCTGACCACTACACCACAGGTCTTCTTCATAAATATTAGTATGTTAGTTTGAGCACTGCTGTAACTATCTTATATTACTATTAAGTTATGAAGCATTAGTTAGACAGTACTACTTTTCACTACCACAAAATCTTTCAATAATTAACAGTAGTATCAACATTAATCTATCACGCTTATCGTATTCAGTAATTTTTTCTTCACTTCCATAGTATTATAAAAGTTTACACTGTGCTGTGCCTTCCTTCTCAACAAATATGCATCACACTCTTTTAAGCTTACCATAATAATGCTGTATTCACTCCCAACCTCCATCTATTTCAAGCCAATTTTCCATCCTAGTACCACACCCAGAGTCTGGCATCAAAAAGCTACACGTTCCCTTATTCAGTCTGTCTTACCACACTACTATGGCATTTCCTTACTCTCAAGGCCTAAAGGTATTTATTTACATTAGCAAGGTCGTGCGATTCATTACCCCCAACGAACAATGATTTTATCGATATTTGTGATTTTGGCCTTTATGAATCACCCGAAGATTAGCACACCCACCCTCCCCCCCCAATCCCAAATGCTCACCTGAAGTTACATCTCAATTTCAACACCCTAAAGCTATCTTGGATATGTTCGTCTATATCAGGTGATCCAGGTATAAAACACTGCCTTTCTTTGCATGTTCGTCCCCTCACCTCAACGCCACTTCATTGCATATTTCACCAGATGATTGAACACCCTAACCTAACCTAACTCCCCCAGGTAGAATTAAGGTGTTTAATCAGCAGGTCAATCCTGAGGGTTTCAGTTCAGGTGAAGTCATCAAACTGTCTTCCCAACTTTCATTATAAACTAAATTACTTACAAATGTTCCAATAAAAAAATTTCCTGGTTAAAATTAAACATCAAATAGACAATAATTTATAATGAGGTACATAGTAAAACAAATTCTTCAGAAAAGTGTTTTTATTCCATAATGATGAAGTCTTTGGAATGGACAATGGTTGAACTTATTGACAATTAAATTTAAGGATAGGGAGTCGAAGAGATGTTCAAGGTAATGGAACAAGTCATTCCTGCTAAAAAATTCTCGGAGGAATTAGACATTTCCTCAAAGATTCTAGATTACATATTTACAGACATTTGTACATGTCTTCTGAACACTTGATATGTCTCACTGTAGCAAAGTGTTCACCCACCTAGATGGCTCGCCCCGTAGACGACTCAGCCCCATAGATGGTTGACCCGATGCGTACAAAATACTGAAGTTCACACAATGACAAACCTCTAAATAACATGCAGCGGATAAACCAAAAGTCTTTCAACTCTAGTGATAAAAAATAGTCATCTACACAATAGGTCTTCTTAAAGTTAGTGATTTCTTGCATTCAATAAATGTTTTAGGGTAAAATACACACATTTTAAAAGAAATAAAAAAATCTGATAAGACATCCTGTACTGCATAAAAAATACAACTTGGAAGACCAGCCTGTGTATACGTCTTAGTGTCGGTCCAGGCCTCGAGAGAGCAGGGGCACCGGACACACTCGCTTGTACTAACTTACAAGTTACCTCACTCATAGGGTTTAAGAGTTTTGTCATATGCACCAACTCTGCTAAAACTACACTCAAACATAGGAGAAACAGCCACACAAAATTTACAAACCAAACACCTGAGCACACGTTTAGCAGCATTCTTCACGCACACTTATCACCAGGGAAAGTTCTGTCGGGGACTCAGCTGTGATACGCCGTGCCATCTGCAAGAAATTAAAAATGTTAACCAATGCTGCTTAAACTGTACTGGGTATAGATGCTAGACACCTTTTATCCCTCGCCTCCACTCCCTCGTTAAACCAGCCATCGAACACAAGGCAGTACGATAATTAGTACACTATTAGTTGTACTTGTCAAGGATGGAACAAGCCTTTTGTGACCTAGAACACTTAATAACAAGAGGATGAGACAGCTAATCTGACCTTATTGTCATGAATCAAGCCATCAACACCTGCTCACCCACAGTACACGACAGCACCAACAACTCGGCAAAAGGTTTAACGTCATAATTATAATCCACTCACGAAGTCTCAAAACCTCTCGTTCAGCCCCAAGGAATACAGGAACCTACACAAGTAACTCACTGTACAAGACGATACTTATCCTCAAACAGAACCCCATCTTGGTAACTCTCGGCATCCCTCCACAGGTTTACCAGGACTGCCCCTGTAATCCTATCAAGTTAACAGATTTATACCAGTTTTACATCTTTCTTTTATAGAACATCAAGCTTCGTGTAGGAGTCTTAAAAGGTTAATTGCATCAGTGTGAGCTACAGAGGAACATTGATATAATGGACTTACATCTCCATACAACCTGTGTTAGTTAGGGGGTTTCATATCTAATAGACCCTTGATATAACGGATCATCATTATATAGTTCGTTAGATGGAGGTTTCATATCTAATAGACCCTTGATATAATAAACCTAACCTACCTAACTTTACTTAACCTACCTACCCAACTTTACTTAACCTAACTTAACTTACTTACCCAACTTTACTTAACCTACCTACCTAACTTTACTTAACCAACCCAAACCTACAATAACTAAATGCAAGCAAATGGAATCACCTAACCAATAAATCAGACCCCATACTCTCGCTAAAACCAGGACGTGAGATGTACTCCTAAATACTCTCGATCCAGAATTAAAAACATTAACTGTGATGCCACCTTAACCATAGGCCTTATCCTAGCATACTAACTACAGGTAACATAAGGAGTCTGCAATAGGCCGGTTGGCAGCTCCTGTCGAGAGTTACTACCACACTCTATCATCCATGAATCTACCTAGCCTCCTTTTAACACTTTCCAGCATTTACTACAAAGTTGCTAAGCTTGTTCCACTCGTCCACCACCCTATTTGTGAACCAGTTCCTTCCTATCTCCCTCCTAAACCTAAACTTAACCAACTTAAATCCGTTGCTACGAGTCCTATCTAGGTTGATGTTGTTAAGGCCGTATACATTGACAGTATTTGTTCTTCCAATATTAAGTACGCTGCACTTGCTGGTGTTGAAATTCATTTGCCTTTTTCTGACCACTCCTGTAGTTTATTTAAATCCTCCTGTAGTGCATTCACACCAGAGGCCTTATCCTGATATACTAACTACAGGAACGACCCAGGGATGGTTAAGTGTCGGAACTGCGGGACAAATCGTTTCCTCTCATGGTTGGCGAGCTGATCAATGCGTTCCTCACCGGCATTACAGACGAGGGAGGTCATTTCAGTGCACTAGAGGTGAGGGAGAACGAGATGCACGACACCAGAAAGTATTTGATGGTCACACACAAAACAGCACACCGCGTTTCGTGGTCATGCACCAAACGGCAGAAAGAATTTGATAGTTCATGTACGAAACAGCAGGAAGCAGGAGACTGATTGGCACCAAACAGCAGAAAGCGTTTAAGTCATGGACGAAACAGCAGAAAGTATAGACAGACACAGACCAAACAGCAGCATAGTATGTGGCCTTAAGTGGTGCTTTCTGGGGTAAACTTACCTCTTACAATCAAAAGACTGTGTGTGTGTGTGTGTGTGTGTGTGTGTGTGTGTGTGTGTGTGTGTGTGTGTGTACTTTATTTTTTTTATTATGTGTGTGTTAGCATGTGTGTGTTTTGTGTGGGTATAGAGGTGTGTCTTTGTGTCCAGAATAGTACCCAAAAAATTTCAATACTCCAATAACAATCCTCAATTACGACTCTGATCTTCGAGGACAAACAAACCACAGACGCTTCAGTACACCCATGATGATCAACTGCTAGACGACATACCCCTTCCTGGTAGCTGCCTCGAGACCTACAGGTGACCGACGCTACATCACCAACCCTACTGCCCTGGCTTAACCGAACGACACCTGGACTACTTCGACAACCCTACCGGTCTCGCTCTCTCAAACTCAAACACACACACACACACACACACCATAAAACATGCAGGTGAATTTCATAGTTTATTCTTCTTGTTAACGTCACGAATCACCCTATACCACGATAGTTAAAAATGCCAGCTAATTATACAGTATATCAATGAAAATAAAAGGGTTCACTCACGACCCAGATAGACTTTTATCGTTGGTCATGGATTGCTTTAACTCTCTCTGAGGCTGGGTGATAAAGTAGTATTATTTGTTCGAGAACTTTATCAAAGTGTAGGATTTATTTAAACCTTTCATTCCTCGACGGTTAAATGATCACCCTCAAAGAATGAAAGATTACAGTACTATATGACTATAATAAGACCAAAACAGAGAGAGAGAGAGACCACACACAGAGTTAACGAGCTGCATGACCCAGTGTTTAAGGTGTAGAAGCTGTCACCAACACAATAACCACACCCTAAGTTAATGAGCTGTCACCAACACAATAACCACACCCTAAGTTAATGAGCTGTCACCAACACAACAACCACACCCTAAGCTAAAGAGCTTCATTATCAAGAAGACCGGACAATTCCCCCACTGCACAGGCTGACCATTACCCCGGAACATAACCCACAAGAAGCATCCAGGGCCCCAATCACTGCTGGATAAACTGAGGTAAATGACACAATCTTCCTCACAGAGTCACCCTACCTGGGGATTGAACCAAAGTCCACTTGCTTGTAAGGCGAGCACGCTGACCACTACACCACAGGTCGCCGAAGCCTAAGTACGTAACCCAAGCTGCCTTCCTTCACATACCTCAAGCTGCCTTTATTTCCCATTCTCTCTCCTCCTCCTTGCTGTACAATCATTCACCTTCTGCATCATTCTCCCCATTCATCCTTAGGTCTCTCAATTATTCTCTTCTTTACTATCTCTCCCCATTCTATGTCCCTATAACCCCCCCCCCCAGGAAACACAAGGTTACTTTTTATTTATATACCGTATTATACAAGTCAGCATCTTATTGCATCTCTGTTTCAGGTCTCATTTCAGGGTTGTGTGGGCCTCAAAGCTGTTGTGTTTATTGCTTTGTTGCATCCTGGGAGAGAAGAGAAAGAGAGGAGGGAAAAGAGGAGAAAAGAAGAGAATAAGAGACGAAGAGACAAGAGAAATGAGAAATAGAGAAGAGAAAATAGAAAGGGAAGAAAGATGCCAAATAAAAACCCAACACACAAGACTGGACAAACACGCCACTTACTTTGAACTTTTGTACTTGTCTCTGATCGCATGTTGCTGGGGCTCATGGACTCGAGAGAAGGCACGATACAAATTAACGTAGCACTCCCTCAGGTCCTCCAGGGCGTATCCCGTCGATTCCACCATATGACTCGGCCAAGCGACTCGACCCTGACAAGGACGACGAATCAAGACATCGTAAAGTTACTCCTATACTCGGAAAATGGCAAAAAATTCATTAATCCTCTCAAAATTCACATTACCAAGAAATTTTGTTGGTTTTAAATACGTTCATCACAATAAGCGAAAATTCGCGGAGATATATCCACCGTGCCGTCGGTGTGGGCTTACCTGCGTGTGATTGGCCAAAGCAACCGCAGATGCAGCTATCATAGAGGGTAGAAACCTTAGGAATGGATCACAGTCTAGCATTGTCACCTCTGCCAAGAACTGCAATTAAAAAAAATAATGAATGAACCAAATATGACAAAAATATTATCATAAACTTGTATAAAACATAATTGTTCCTCTAGCAATCATACTTGTAATAATCCCTAACAAACAAGCTAATTAAATGCCAAACGTATCATTAAATATTGGTAGAGTTCACTAAAGAATCACCTAGGACGACCATCAAGTCATACTGGGGATAAAAGATTCATCTTACGTATATACTGTACTATAAGGTAACAAGCAAAGTGTGTTGGTATATCGAGCTGTCCTCTTCTTCCTTTTACGTCAAGGCGTCACCGAGAACCCGACGCTCTGCTGTACTTACTAGCGCTAAATTCAACGTTTCCTCGGAGTTCTTGCACATCCGGGAGAATTTGTTGACGAATAAATGTGCCGTCGGTACCGCCATGTCGAAGCTTAATACTTTTAGGATGAGATGTTCCATGCGTAGGATCTGACCCACTTTGTACGTGTTGTCGGTGATGTAGGCAAACTGACCCACGTCGGGCGGGTAGATCTCTTCGTATTTCCTGAGGGAATTAAGACACACGTTAGATGGTTAACGGATACAAATATGTTGGATAATCGGTCAAATCTGTGTAACCAGCCAATCAATGGACAGGTAATCGAATACAAATACATGACCAACCAACCACAACAACAACCCCATAGTTCCCACCGGTATACTCACGCGGCAATAAACATGGCAGTGGTACCAACGAGCTGTAGCTTGTCTCTCTTCACGGACATATGGGAGAGAAAACGGTCTATGTAAGAGACGGCTAAGTACAAGGTTTCCGTGTGTAGGCTGTATTCCTCCGCCACCTCCACCAACCAGTCGACGAGGATCCATCTCATGCTGGACGTTATATCGGACTGCTTCGACATGTAGTTGGCGCGGGGCTTGTGACACACCTGGTTGGGTTAGGTTGCATTATTGACGAATCTTTGGGAGGAATTTCTTCTTCGGAGAAATTTAACTTCGGAAATTAACAGAGGATTAGTTTAATGTTAATATACAAATCGTAAATGGATAAATTAACTCCAAAAATATTAACACTAAAATAACTAAATAATAATATGGAATTAAACTCTTCAGAAAACAAACATTCACAGATCCTTAAATAAAAAAATTAATGCAAAGCAAGGCGTCGAAAAAATAGACTAATCACCTCTGCTTCTCTAAGGTATTGATAAATGTCCGCTGCATATTCCGGAACGTCATATATGTCGTCATTTCTACTCTGGAGGACGTCTTCTCTCGGAGTCGTTTCCACTACCATGAGATCGTCTTCGCACACGCTCATTTCCATGGGATCTGTCGACGCTGAACTTTCTATATCGGAAGATCTGTAACCGTGGAATACAGAGATGAGTTCACTATTTAAGCGTACTGTACACTATCGCCAGTTCCTGTATTCATTAACTAGATCACAGGATATGTAAATTTTGTATCACTGAATGGACAAGAGGAGGAATACTTTACCCACTCAGAAGATGCACCTGTCAAAAGTACTCATTATCACCCTGGGTCTTTTTTATCACAAGTAACCAGTTATCTATGGGTCTAAATTTGGAGCATTTTTTTTTTTGGGTCTTGAAGAACTTTTTATCCAGGAATCTAAACTACTGTAGTTCTATGGTCCACAACAGGTGAATATTTACATAGTTATTATTTAAGGATGAACGTCTGGGATATTTTTAATTTCTATGAAGTTGTAGTCACCCAAACTATACAAAATTGTGTTGAAAAAATATAAGAGACGAAGGATTTCGACAACCCTTCCGAGACAACAGGTGTGGCAGTGTACGTTCTGACATTCATCAACCACCAAGAAGATAGTTATTCCGAGTGACTGTACAGGAAGTCGTCACAAGCGATCTACGGGTTAACTCACTTTTGTAACGCTGTTATAGAAGGATCAAGATCGGGGGAACTTTCACAATTTCTGTCTTGTGGTTTGCTTAACCTCTCTCGTAAAGGTAAAGGTACTGAAGAATTGGTTGTCGAGCTCATCTGGGTGCTGGTGGATGAGGAGGATCCCACGGATACACATGATGAAACATCTTGATGGATTGTGAAGGATGGGAAGGTGGATGAAAAAGATTTGTGGCTGGTACTGGATGCATTCTCTTCACCTTGTTGTGGCACTCCTGTTTCATAGCTGATGCCCTGTGGAGATTACAATGAATTAATAGATTCATTTTAATTAAAGGTACAAGAGTTAATGATCCACCCGTACAAAAATTCGTCCATTTCCTCCATTTGTGAATTCTTTTTTTCAACACATCTGGTCAAAATCAATTTATTCAAGGTGCCTAACAAACCAACACCTCGGGAAATCCACGTGGCATAAAAGCCTGTACCTCAGACCAACCCAGAAGCATCTAGGACCTGCAGTAGGTAGACACGATTCACCGAGCGTGTTGGTTAATGTTCCTCTTTACTCAAGGTACCAATATCCCCGCCTACTCCTGACCACCTGATAAACACGTGGACTTTTCTCGTACCGGAGAATCTGTCCCGTCAAACATCGATGGCGGAGAAGGTAAATACTCAATAGGTTACCAACGGGTCTAATGAATTATGTAACGGGATTTTACTAATGGGGAAAGGTAAATGTTCTCAAATCTTTTTTCTCAGGTACGGTATCATGATATTCTTAAAATTAACACTATTCTTTAAGTTCAATTATTTAATACTAAAGCTATCCACTATTATTAATTATATAGGAAACTATGAGTGGTGGTTTGAGTATGAAATAGAAGTATCTATTCATACCAGTCTTAAGTAGGCATTCTCACACGGTAAATACTTAGATCTGACAGCAGAGAATAGTGTAAAAAATAAGACCCAAGCCAGAAGTGGAGTAGATGAGGAAGGTTCTTTGATTGTGGTCCCAACCTTGAGGCCCAGGAAGTATGGTTATCCTCTGCTGCTCATCAAGGGTTCAGTTCTAACATTAACACTGCCCTTTATGACAAAATATTAAGTCAAATACATTATAGGATCTCAACATATACACAGGTGCATTTTATTAATTCACTTTCGTTCCTTAAGTAATTAAATAGTATAAGAGAAATGATGATGTGACAATGATAAGTCCAGCCATTGGTTCAGTCCACAATAAGACAACACTGTACTGCACTTCATCTCTCTTCCCTAAATGAAAAGTCAACTACAGCTGCTCCCCGACTTACGACGGGGTTAGGGACCCAAATCCAGGCCGTAAGTCGAAAATGGTTAAATACATAGAAAATCTTAAATAGGGGTCTCTCTTTCTTCTCAGCACCACAAAACTCTCACTTTTAAGCTTTCCAGCCATTTTAAAGTGAATTACAAACGAAAATATTGTCAGTACACAGCGCAATCACTGACGTTGGGACTCGAAAATACGTAATTTGACAAAATTTGGGTACGACTGAGGCGGTTGTATGTCCGGCTGGTCGTAAGTCGAGTAGGCCTAAGTCGGGGAGTAGCTGTATTTATTTATGTAATTTTTTGATTGTCAACTTCTTAAATTTGAAATGGTGTAAACTCCAATTACCTAAGTTGATCAAGAGAACTACAGTACAGTATACATTTTAGCACACAGCCAGGTCAACTTAGGTCAAATTACCAGTGATTTTAGCTGAGGGTCACAAGGGTTCAAAAGATGCCTCATGTTGGCACCTGTATAGTGGACCAATTACAGGAAGTATGTACTGTGCTAAAACTTAAAATGGTTACAGTAAAACACCACCACAAGTGTGTGAGCTAACATGGTCTTTCTCTTCCACAAAAGGACCGGAATATCGTAAAAGCCGGTGCAGGTACAGTGCAGCACCTGTCACTACTCATTAATATTAGATAACTATTAAATTTGTGTGGCAACTGTATTTTAGCCTTATTTATTAACTTAATTATGCAGTAATGAGACAAGATTGACAGTGGTCCTGGGTGGCAAGATGTCAGACAATCTACACCAGTGACCCACAAGTTGATTGGGCGACAGCTTTGCTACTCGTCAATGCTTGGCTGTGTTTTTTGAAAGGAAGGTTTTTTGTGAACTTAACACTTCCCAGAGTGAATATAAACAGTAACTTCACTGAACACTCATTGTGGACCAGAAGATGAAGGAGAATGACCAGTAAGACATGGGGTTAATTATGAATTGAATTGGAATTTATTAAAAAAAAACGTGAATTGGAATTAAATTGAAATTGAAAAAAAATGCAAAATTAAAATTAATTGAATTGAACTGGATTTGATATCAATGAATTGATATGAATTTATGTGAATTGATATGAATCGATGCAATGAATTGATGTGAAGTGATAAAAATTATATATTATACTGTAATATGCATCTTCATTATTTTGCAATAATTAAGTTATATTCAAATAAAAACAAAAATACAGTTAGCTAGAACAAAAATATGTTAAAAATACAAGTGATGGCATGGCATCACATGAAAGATGACAAGGAGCAAGATGGCCAGATCAAGCAAATTCATGCAAAAGTATCAAAGCTCGTCAGCTTCTGCAGGAAATGAACAGTGGTTGCAGAAGTGCTCTCTAGTATTAACAAATAAAGAAAATATTAAAGAAAATATTATTAGAGATATCACAATAGGGGAAGAACTAGGGAACAGTGATCACAGAGAAATCAGGTTCACCCTAAATTGGGAAACGAAAAACAATAACAATACGGTCAGTCCCAAACTTTCAATCGGCAAATTATGAGGGGTTAAGATGGTACCTTGGTGAGGTGGCACAAGAACAAAATATACCATACAGAAAAATTAGGTCAAATAAGAATGAGCCAAGGTGGATGACCAGAAAACTTAAACATGACATAGGGATAAAGAAAGGAATATATAAAACTAAAGGGAGGGGAGGAGCAGCTCAGAAGTAGGTATAATGAACTATCTAGGAATGTTAAGAAAAATGTAAGGAAGGCAAAGAGGGACTGCGAAATCAGGATAGCAAGAGAATCCAAGGCGAACCCCAAGGGATTTTTCCAGGTATATAGGACAAAGGTCAAGGACAAAGTGGGGCCTTTAAAGTCAGAGAGAGGAGAGGTGATTGATGATACTGAGAAAATAAGCAGAGCATTAAACAGCTACTTCTTATCAGTTTTCACTGAAAAAATTCACTAGGAAATGCAAGAGGTGGAACTGATATTTAGGGGAAATGAAGAGAAATTAAAGAATATCACTATCAGAAAAGAGGAAGTTCTTAAGAAGATAAATAAACTAAAGAAGACAAAATCCCCAGGGCCGGATGAAATTTTCCCTCGAGTTTTGAAAGAGTGTAAGGAACAGATTAACGGATCCTTCGTAAATTTATTTACAAAGTCATTGGACACGGGAGTTGTGCCAGACTTGTGGAAACAGGCAAATGTAGTACCCATATTCAAAAAGGGTGACAGAACATCAGCGTCAAATTACCGGCCGATTAGTTTGACGTCAGTAGTGGGGAAATCTTGAATCAATTATAGCAAATAGCATCCGATCGCATTTAGAGAAAAGCACATTAATCTACGACTCTCAACATGGGTTTACAAAGGGAAAATCTTGTCTAACAAATCTGCTGACGTTTTTTAGGAAAGTCTTCGAGGTAGTAGGTAATGACGAAAATTACTATGTTATTTACTTAGACTTTAGCAAAGCGTTTGACAGAGTACCACATCAGAGGCTTGAGAAAAGTTAAGGCTCATGGTATCGAGGGGAAAGTTTTAAATTGGATAAAATCATGGCTCACCGATATAACACAGAGGGTCAGCATAATGGTGTTAAATCTGAGTGGGGCCGTGTAACCAGTGGGGTTCCCCAGGGGTCAGTACTAGGCCCACTCTTGTTCATAATCTACATAAACGATCTAGATGCTGGGATCAGCAGTGACATAAGCAAGTTTGCGGATGACACCAAAATAGGGCGGCAGAGTAATTCAGGGGAGGAGGCAAATGCACTACAGGAGGATTTAAATAAACTGCAGGAGTGGTCTGAAAAATGACAAATGAAATTCAACACCAGCAAGTGCAGCATACTGTACTTAATATTGGAAGAACAAATACTGTCAATGTATACAGCCTTAGCATCAACCTAGAGAAGTCGGCTTGTGAAAGAGACTTAGGGGTACTTGTAAGCCTGGACCTACGGCCTAGAAAACAGTGCGTTAATGTTCGAAATAAGGCAAACAGAATATTAGGTTTTATATCTAGAAGTGTAAGTAATAAGAGTGCAGAGGTCTTATTGCAACTATATCTCGCGCTAGTCAGGCCGCACCTCGATTATGCGGTTCAGTTCTGGTGGCCTCATTATAGAATGGATATCAATTCACTGGAGTCGGTGCTGCAAAGAATGACGAAAATAATTCCGGGACTTAGAAACCTTCCATGTGAAGATAAGTTAAAGAAACTAAACTTGCATTCCCTAGAAAGACGAAGAGTGCGGGGAGATATGATAGAAGTATTTAAGTGGGTGAAAGGAATCAATAAAGGGGATATAAAGTTCTTATAATATCCGAGCAGGATAGGACTCGTAGCAAAAGATTTAAGTTGGATAAGTTTAGGTTTAGGAGGGAGATAGTAAGGAACTGGTCCACAAATAGGGTGATGGACGAGTGGAACAAGCTTAGCAACTTTGTAGTAAGTGCTGGAAAGTTTTAAAAGGAGGCTGGATAGATTCATGGATGATAGAGTGGTAGTAACTCTCGACAGAAGCTGCCATGCACAGGTCAACCGGTCTATTGCAGACTCCTTATTTTCTTATGTTCAAACGAATTCAAGCTCCAGATGGCAACATGTACACGCTGGAATAGCCAGTTAACGACGATGAGGTCACCTGAAGTGTGGGACAAACTTGACACTCCCTGCAAGGTGAAGCACCATGAGCTGAACACCATCCAGGAGCTCTGTGATATACTCCAGCCATTTGAATACGTGACTAATCAGATTCAGGGACAAAACATGGTGACATCTAGTCTGGTAGTTTACTGTGTTGGTGGTCTTCGAGCTGCTTTAGTTAGTCATCGTGAAGTGTATAAAAGCAAGCTTGTTCTGAACTTCAGTTCTCAACAGAGACTCGTTTTAATAAGTTTGAGTCTACGGAGGCTTTCCAGCTAGCTGCCACCTTAGACCCACGTTACAAGCTGGACTAGGGTCATGACAATGAAGTGCAAGACATTCGTGACCTGACTGAAATACAATATGGCACACAGTGTTGATCCTACAACAACAGACACCTCCCCTGCTGAACCACCACCGATGAAGAGGAACAAGTTCTTCGCCCTGGCCAACCGGTCTTCTACACCAAGACCAACTCCATCACTGAGGTCTCACTCTACCACAACCAACCATGTCTACAGGATGATAGTGATCCCCTTGGCTACTGGAAGGCCAAGCAGTTTCCTGCCCTCACCAGACTTGCAGCAAAGTACCTGGCCATTCCTGCTACATCGGCTCCAATGGAACGACTGTTCTCCATTGCTGGCAAGCTCTTCAGGCCAGAGAGGTGCAATTTAAGCAATAAAAGATTTGAGGAACTTATGATGATCAGATGCAATCCCCAGTAACTTGGACTCATTCATATTTTGTTTACTAATACAAAGAATTAAACCATTTGAACTTTTGGTTGGTAAAGAATGTGAAAGGTTTGTGTGGTAGAGCATTTTTGATAAAAAATAAAGAAGTTAATTTGAAACCTTGAATTTTTGTTTCATTCCATTAGATTAATGATAGATTAGAATTAACTTTGAATTGAAAATCATTTGATTTGAAGATTTTTTTACGAATGAATTTAATTGAATTGGAATCGATTAATTCAAATTTTATTCTGAATTGGAATTGAAATAAAAAAAAATTAATTGACCCCATCTCTGCCAGCAACAAACTCAGTCAGATCACATAATGCCTCACACACACTATTCCTTCCTCACAAGGTTTGTTTTCACAATTCTGAGCTTAGGCAGAATTTGGCTTCTCGAAATTTTTTTTGTCAAGGCCCTATAAATAATGGACCTCAATCGACCCTGATTACCAATAGCGTAAATAACTTTTCATATTCCTGTGTTTACTGCAAGAGACTGTGCAACATGGAGAGCTGCCACCAGGGGATTAAATAACCAACAAGTATGGAATATGGCTGTAAACATTTATCTACAGGTCATTTTTTTTCTTTGCAACAGTGCTGATTTGTGGAGGTGACCAACTGGATCAAGATATACAAGTCTAAATGTATGTATGTACGTACAGGTGTGTGTGTGTGTACAGGTATTTATGTATGTGCGGGGGGGAGGGGAGCCAGGTTGTAGGCCAAGAATAACAGTGGGAGAGGTGGTAAGTAATAACCTCTTGAGTGAGACTGCAAAACAAAGTGTAGCAAGGAGAACTGCCATCAGGTAATCATGTCTAACCTTCACAAGCACAGAAACATGGCCATTGATGATGATGCAAGTTGCCCCACACAGTTCACTGCATAACTCCTACCTGTAATGTGCACCCACATTGTTCAACGCGCTCAATATAATGGTGGAAAAATTGCAACTTTCTTAATTTTGTGTTTGCGATGTTTTACTCCTCGATACGAATAAACGCCCTCATGTGAAAGCCACCATATAAGGCAACAAGGATTTACAGCATTTTTCATATAAATACCGTAATCTTGACATGGGAACAACATTGATGATAAAAGCAACCTAACCTAACTAACCTAAATTGGAAGCAAATTACTAGTTTAAGTTAAAGGATGGTATGCTGTTCCTTAGGGTGTTTATATAATCTTATTGTCAACAGAACGTGCACGAACTATATTAAAAAAGATGATTAAAGTTTTAGTCTCCAGAAATGTTCCCAAGCCTACCCTCCTCCACACGTCAAATATTACCCTTAGTAGTACATACATGCTACCTCAAAATATTGCCAAGTCTCCTTATCTATTATTAATTTGGTTGCATAAACACTTAACAATTTAAATCTACCTAACTAATAGCTGTATCTGTGAAATATATAAGGCAGTAAAGTAATACTCGTAGAACAGACACTACCATTTGAATTCATTAGTCTAAACTTTCTATGGGTTTTGATCTGGTTTTCATTATATCAACTGCACACAATACTTTAATAGTAACAGGAGAATAATTTAGTACCCTTCACTTGCACAGCTCACGTACTCTCTGACAGTAGAAGTTGCTGCTTGACGGCCGTGTTAACTACCAAGGCACACACAGTTTAGTTTTATCTTCAAAAAGTTCAAACCATTTAACACACAACAAATTTAGCCGTTTTACCCCTATACCATGGATGATAAGTTTACTTTACAAATATTTAAAATACAAAACCAAGATTATTTTTATGACTAACGGCCGGCAAAGATCACAAAACCTAAATACAACTTTATTAATGACTAAATTATCAAATACCTCTTGATTATAAAACGGTTATAAGCATCATAATTAACAACCACATGTGTAAATACTGCATAAATAAAGTAAAGTAATTACAACGTCGCCACGTGATTCAGAAAAACATTTCAAAATTTATTCCTTAACTTGTGAATTACTAGACAAACCTCAACACACAGATTAATGAACCCCAATTGAGATTTAAATACATTAGAACTACATTGTAATAGCATAAAGCCAACCCATTTGAATTGTTACCGTTTATTAAGAATTGTTTTTTTACACCAGAAGTTATATATCGTAGGTAGGTAATATAAATACCATGGCACTTAGCTACTGTACAAAATGAGTCAAATGCATTTTTCCTATTGCATACTTGACCACAAATAGGGTGGTGGACGAGTGGAACAAGCTTAACAACTTTGTAGTAAGTGCTGGAACGCTGGAAAGCTTTAAAAGGAGACTAGATAGATTCATGGATGATAGTGGTAGTAATTCTTATGTTCTTATTAGCAAGGTCGGCTAGGGTCCCAATTTCCAATAATAATTACCTAACCTAATCTAAAGTACTGACATAAATTGAAATATATAAGCATACACTGGATTTCCATATATAACCCCTTCAGTTTTAGAAATAATGAAGGTTAATACTGTATGGGTAATATGATCAATATAATGTTTGATTCCACTTACTGTCAAAAATATTAAACGTAACGATAATGAAAAATAGTAACTGGAACCTACAGGTGAAATAAGTTACCATTTGAAATTTTTGGCGCGCTCTTTGATGATTCCGCCCATTAGGAAAAACTAATTGGTGTACAAATTAATGTTACAATGTATATACAAAACCCGACAGAAGAGGTAGGAAAAAAGCCATTTATATACAAGCAGACAACAGTGATTGTGGCGGGCTTTACAAATGCTTTTCAAATTTGCTTCTTTCCACCACCACCACCGGATTTGCTTTCTCTGCATTAAAACCCAGAAAAACTCGAAATATATTGAGGAAATGAATCCGAATATGACCGTTTACACAATTTGTAGACCATAAGAATTAGTTTAGAATTGGCTAACGTGTACAAACCCAAACCTTTTGCCAGTGACAAATCTGATTTGCATACATCACTGTTTTAAAATCCGACCACACAATACTCTTCCAGATCTATATTTAACTTGCAATTCATTCATATACTTGTCAAATTTATGTTAACAGCTCGTTGGGTAGTTAAGATATCAAATTACGCTAATATATGAATCATAAGTACTGCAGACATATTGAAGTATTTACTCAAACTCAAATAACTGTATTCTCACGACACACTAAGTACAATTTACATGTTAATTAAGAAGCACATGATTCTATAAACAAATTATTATGCACAGGAAATATTTGATTACTGAGATGAATTCAAAGTTTACCCCCCATTACTGATCACCTGAAGAATAAGACACCCTAATTCTACCTCATGGGGTTAAGTTAGGTTAAAGGGTGATTAATCTTCAGGTTAAATAAACTAACGTCATTACTCACTTAACCTTACATTTTATATCCAAATTAAACTACGTCTGGGCTAATTCTTAATTACTTTTAAACTACATAATGGTAAAGCCAGTAACCCTATCCATGTAATTAACCCATGAAAACTACCCAATTAGAGACTTATCTGTGAATATTTCCTATAAAAAGTTAATATAGAGAGTAATATTCCTTTACCCATTACTCTCATAATTTTCATTGAGATAAACTTTTAACCATTAATTAGACGTGATTATCCAGTACTAGAATAATATACAATACTAATTAATTATCAAAAAATATAATCATTCAAAATTCTTAACATACGGTACATTACAACATCAGTTTTTATCAATTACAGACATAATAATTAATTTACCACACCACATCACACATCTACAAGAACTCCTTTAAACAGACATACAAGTAGATATACATAGATAAACCTTAAACCCTAATAAACCAACAGAAAATAATGTAAACACCACCACCTGCTAGACCACCATGACATATACCTTCATTTAAACCCTTTTTTTAAACTCAATTATCTCACCTGTTTGGCTGCTCTAGTTGGTTGTTGTTGTAGATTAGTGTTGATAGCACCCAACACTGGTCTCCTAGTAGCCTGTAGACTGTTATTAATGGCTATATTAACCCTTGGATCATCTTCACTCTTCGTTGGGATGGAATTTGATTTTCTTGATCCTCGTAAATTTGAGTAGACATGATTTTATATTTTCCCTTAATAACTACTACAATAACTAAGTCACAATAAGACTCTAAAGTAACTCAAGGTTTAGTAGAAGTAGGTAGGGATCTCGTAAATGCCCAACAGACGCCACATTGAGGTTATATTAAAGAAAGACTGTGAGAGAGACCAGCTGAGTGACGTCCACCTCCCTCCACCGCCTCGGTTTGAAGTAACCAATCACAGGCCGCCATCCTCGTGACGTCACTGCGCACGCATACCTGACGAGCTACAGATCTTGTGAATATTACTTATTTAACCCTTATAACCTAATTCCTAACCTAATTTAAGAATATATTTCATTATAATTTAATATAAGAATAATTTTTATGTATTAATGTATGGTATTTATTGTTTAGTTATGTTTTATAATGATAATAGGAACAGTACTCAAAGGCGACTCAAGGTAGCTAGGCCATTTAAACTGTGTGCGGGAAGTATGAAATATTATTACTGTATATTAACATGTGTTCCTCTCTAATAAAACTTTGAATAATATAATATACATTTTTTAACCTTTATCCACTAAAATATATATTCTTTAAACCTATACATTACCATAGACCGTATTACAGAGACACAATGGAGCAGGTTATTTAATATTTGCTAAACCTATAACGAAATAATTATTAATGAATCGTCTTTACCACTATACCATTTAATTGTAAAACATGATAACATATACTATATTTAAATAAAGTTTCATATCAAAACTACTCACAAAAAGTAATATAAATTTTACACGATAATATAAGATTGGGTTCATTGAACGTATGTGTTATTTCAAAGGGAGTTTATTTATTTATTTTATCCTCTAGGTTATTATTTTATTCATATTTTATCCAATATATAAAATTATGAATATTATTAAGACTAATCAAATCAAAATATCTATAACTAACTACACTACAACTAAATTAAAAACTACCTCGGGTTCTTAACAAACTAAATAACACCCTAAGTACATTTCTAATAAATGGATAACATCAAAATACAGAAAACTACAGAAAAAATCAATAAATTCTTAAATAAATTCAAATTTGAAGTTGTAAGCATGGTGGAGGTCCAGAAGACGGTGCCAAGTACTCCATTACTCAACTATTTAAACAAACCTTCACACAACCAATATATTTATCTATATCCCATATTTAAAACACATGTATGGCATAATAATAAAAATAAACTTATAAAATGAAAATATATTAGAATTTCGTGTTATGAATTGTACATAAAATATTGAACCGGCCAACCGTTTAGATTTTTGAACGAATTTAAATGTTAATAAATATTTAATATAACAAACGTCAATTATATTCAATAAATAATCGATAAGTTTGATACATTTTGTTATATAAAATTATATACTTGTGTTACATTAATATTTTTCTATGAATTTTATATAAACCGGATTCTAATAAGCTCGCCAGTCACATATTTCCCCGGTTATATTAAAGGTAAATAAACACCTATAACTACTTTAATATACCAACTGTTAATTAATTTCAATAAATAATCGATAACTTATCTATATTATACTATACAAATTTATATACTTGAATTATAATGATAGATTTTAATGAACTTTATATAAACCGGATTCTAATAAGTCAGTCAGTCAATTCTTCCTCCCAAATTAGTTAAATAATTATCTAATTCACAAATACAATTACAGCTTAGATAAATAGATTGTATTATTATTGTTATTTATTATCAAGTTATTTTATATTATAATTATAAAGCTTTTATTTATAGTATATAATTATTCGTAAGTGGTGATATAATTATAATTAGTTGTCATCACGAGCCTATGTTAATATGTACGTCAGGTCAGGTCAGGTCAGGTCAGGTCAAAGGGTTAATATAGGTGAGGTCAGAGGAGGTCACAGTTCATTTATCTCCCACACTGTCTAGGTGAAGTATACCTACACTGTCTAGGTACATTGTATACCTACACTGTCTAGGTCCATTGTATACCTACACCTGGTCCATTGTATACCTACACTGTCTAGGTCCATTGTATACCTACACTGTCCAGGTACATTGTATACCTACACTGTCTGTGGCATTGCATACCCACACTGTCTAGGTCCATTGTATACCTACACTGTCTAGGTCCATTGTATACCTACACTGTCTAGGTCCATTGTATACCTACACTGTGTGTAGGTCCATTGTATGCTCACAACTGTCAGGTCCATTGTATACCTACACTGTCTAGGTCCATTGTATACTACACTGTCTGGTCCATTGTATACTACACTGTTCAGGTCCATTGTATACCCACACTGTCTAGGTCCATTGTCACACTGTCTAGGTCCATTGTATACTACACTGTCTAGGTCCATTGTATACTCCTTCTAGGTCCATTGTATACCTACACTGTCTAGGTCCATTGTATACCCACACTGTCTAGGTCCATTGTATACCCACACTGTCTAGGTCCATTGTATACCCACACTGTCTAGGTCCATTGTATACCCACACTGTCTAGGTCCATTGTATACCCACACTGTCTAGGTCCATTGTATACCTACACTGTCTAGGGTCCATTGTATACCTACACTGTCTAGGTACATTGTATACCTACACTGTCTAGTCCATTGTATACCTACACTGTCTAGGTCCATTGTATACCTACACTGTCTAGGTCCATTGTATACCTACACTGTCTAGGTCCATTGTATACCTGTCTGTAGGTCCATTGTATACCTACACTGTCTAGGTCCATTGTATACCTACACTGTCTAGGTCCATTGTATACCACTGTCCAGGTCCATTGTATACTACACTGTCTAGGTCCATTGTATACCACACTGTCTAGGTCCATTGTATACCCACACTGTCTAGGTCCATTGTATACCCACACTGTCTAGGTCCATTGTATACCTACACTGTCTAGGTCCATTGTATACTACACTGTCTAGGTCCATTGCATACTACACTGTCTAGGTCCATTGTATACTGCACTCAGTACATTGTATACTACACTGTCTAGGTCCATTGTATACCACTGTCTAGGTCCATTGTATACTACACTGTTCAGGTCCATATACTACACTGTCTAGTCCATTGTATACTACACTGTCAGGTCCATTGTACTACACTGTCTAGGTCCATTGTATACTACACTGTCTAGGTCCATTGTATACTACACTGTTCAGGGTCCATTGTATACCTACACTGTTCAGGGTCCATTGTATACCACACTGTCCAGGTCCATTGTATACTACACTGTCTAGGTCCATTGTATACCCACACTGTCTAGGTCCATTGTATACCACACTGTCTAGGTCCATTGTATACCCACGTCTAGGTCCATTGTATACCACACTGTTAGGTCCAGATACCCACACTGTCTAGTCCATTGTATACTACACTGTCTAGGTCCATTGTATACTACACTGTTCATCCATTGTATACCCACACTGTCTAGGTCCATTTGTATACTACACTGTCTCAGTCCATTGTATACTACACTGTACTTACCCACACTGTCTAGGTCCATTGTATACTACACTGTCTAGGTCCATTGTATACTACACTGTCTAGGGTATTGTATACTACACTGTCTAGGTCCACATACCCACACGTTCAGGTCCATTGTATACTACACTGTCTGGTCCATTGTATACCACACTGTCCAGGCACATACTACACTGTCTAGGTCCATTGTATACCTACACTGTCTAGGTCATTGTATACCTACACTGTCTAGGTCCATTGTATCACCTACACTGTCTAGGTCCATTGTATACCTACACTGTCTAGGTCATTGTATACTACACTGTCTAGGTCCATTGTATACCTACACTGTCTAGGTCCATTGTATACTACACTGTCTAGGTCCATTGTATACCTCACTGTCTAGGTCCATTGTATACTACACTGTCTGGGTCCATTGTATACTACACTGTCTAGGTCCATTGTATACTACACTGTCTAGGTCTTGTATACCTACACTGTCTAGGTCCATTGTATACCTACACTGTCTAGGTCATTGTATACCTACTGTCTAGGTCCATTGTACTACCTACACTGTCTAGGTCCATTGTATATACTACACTGTCTAGGTCCATTGTATACTACACTGTCTAGGTCCATTGTATACTACACTGTCTAGGTCCATTGTATACCTACACTGTCTAGGTACATTGTATACCTACACTGTCTAGGTACATTGTATACTACACTGTCTAGGTCCATTGTATACTACACTGTCTAGGTCCATTGTATACTACACTGTCTAGGTCCATTGTATACCTACACTGTCTAGGTCTATTGTATACCCACACTGTCTAGGTCCATTGTATACCCACACTGTCTGGGTCCATTGTATATACTACACTGTGTGGTCCATTGTATACCTACACTGTCTAGGTCCATTGTATACTACACTGTGTAGGTCCATTGTATACTACACTGTCTAGGTCCATTGTATACTACACTGTCTAGGTCCATTGTATACACTACACTGTCTAGGTCCATTGTATACTGCACTGTCTAGGTCCATTGTATACCTACACTGTCTAGGTCCATTGTATACTACACTGTCTAGGTCCATTGTATACTACACTGTCTAGGTCCATTGTATACTACACTGTCTGGGTCCATTGTATACTACACTGTCTAGGTCCATTGTATACTACACTGTCTAGGTCCATTGTATACTACACTGTCTAGGTCCATTGTATACCACTGTCTAGGTCCATTATATACTACACTGTCTAGGTCCATTGTATACCTACACTGTCTAGGTCCATTGTATACACTACACTGTCTGAGTTCATTGTATACCCACCTGTCTAGGTCCTTGTATACTACACTGTCTAGGTCCATTGTATACTACACTGTCTAGAGTCCATTGTACTGCACCTGTCTAGGTCCATTGTATACTACCTGTCTAGGTCCATTGTATACTACACTGTCTAGGTCCATTGTATACTACTGTCTAGGTCCATTGTATACTACACTCTAGGTCCATTGTATACTACACTGTCTAGGTCCATTGTATACTACACTGTCTAGGTCCATTGTATACTACTGTCTAGGTCCATTGTATACTACACTGTCTAGGTTCATTGTATACTATGTCTAGGTCCATTGTATACTCTGCACTGTCTAGGTCCATTGTATACCTACACTGTCTAGGTCCATTATATCTACACTGTCTGGTCCATT